CCCAAGAGTTGGCGGTGGGTGGTGATGACTAGCTGCCTTCCCTCTAGTCTTACACTGCTAAATTAGGGACGGCTAGCGCAGATAGCCCTCGTGTAGCTTTGCGCGAAATTCCAAAACAAACAAACAAACAAATATACACACATACCAATCCTTTAATATGTGTTCGCGTATGCAAGTCTCTTCAAAATACATGCAAACCTTTTAAAATAGCCACAGTTATAAGCTCACACATTATCTTTTCATGTTAAGTGAGCCGGAGAGCAATAATGGTAATGAATTACTTTTTTTTCCTGTACAATTATACAAAATTCACAATATCTTATATCAAAAATGGACTGATAAAATTGTATATTGTTTAATTGTATATCTGTGAGCACATTTTCCGCGTATTTAACCACTGTTTCTTCTGTTTTCCTAATTTCCCTGTTATGGCAGCGTTATTTACATTAATGTTGTTTTATCATTTCTTTCAGTACTCTGTGTTATACGTGTTCTACCTTTAACTTATCTCGCCCATACAGTCGTCTTGATACGCATCCAACATCGACGATCGATCGTCTACAAAATAGACGACGTTTTCGACTACGATAACACTATAGCTCTCTTTAACAGCGCATGCTCGTAGCCCAGACAGCTAACGTTGAAATGATTGTTGGTTTCTCCGACTGTAAACACAGTTAAAGTTTGACATATTTCTCTTCTTATGCCTAGTCTATTAATCACAAATGGTGTCATCAGTTGTTCTCTGTTGTAATGTTTTATATTCGTGATCTAGTTACAGTACAGGCATTGTTGTTATTGTCATTAAGACATGTTATGGAAATTCTTGAAGCAACATCTCTTAGTCGTCAACTTGTTGTTGTTGTTGTAATGTTGTTATTGACTGACAGATGGTGAGGTTAACCACGGACACAAGAGGGCACTTTCAAGACAGCGTGAAAACCTCTTGATGTTATAACAACTCTTAAATAATTCAATTCATATTCGAGGATTATTGTTTAATAATACTTGGTAACTTACCATGTAGGAGCCTCATTACTAGGACTCATCTAACGAAGCCCTCTGGTGATGGAACAAGACCAGACACAGCTTAGCATAATGTTTGGGGCCTAAAATCCTGGAGAAAAATAGATAACAATATGTAAACATTAGAAGAATTTTTGGACAGTTAGTTAATAACTGAGTTGCAAAGAAGTAATTAAAGATAGGGAACCCATTACTGTACTGTTGACCCATTACTGTACTGTTGACCAATTACCGAGTTATCGAAGGTGTTAATCAGTTTTGAGTCGTGTCTTAAAAACAATAGGAAATTTAAGTTTTAGTTGTGAGTTCGAACTTCTGCATTGCACTCAAAGAAAAAACTCGCTACAAATAAGTGGGCTGAACGTTGCATCATCTTTACAAATTGTTTGTTTGTTTTAAAGCAAAGCCACATTAGAGTATCTGCTGTGTCTACGGTGGGAAATCGAACCCCAGATTTTAGTGTTGTAAGTACGCAGATATACTGCTGTCCCACCGGGGGGGGGGGGGTCTATTTTATCGATTAATCAAAAAGAACCCGCACAACGATATTTTAATAACTTTTAACTCATTTAATTTGTAAAATTCACTTCAATTACCAATAACACACACATTTAATCTAGTGTTTTAATAAGTATCACATGGGCATTGGGATTAATATTGTATTACTTAATGAATGCGTCATCGTCATTAGTCGAATTTTCGATTCAACAAATGTTTTATATTTTTTACCTGTACGACTTCTAAATTCTAACTCATCATCTTCATGATTTAATCATTGTTTTTGAATTACCAAATATGTTAATTGTTTAGGTAATGTTAATATCTTTATATATATATACTTTGTTCTTTACACTTGGCACAAAAATCTTCGTATACCAACTCTTTAGTTTTTAAACTTGGGTTATCATTTTTTCACCATTAAGAAAAGTTATTCCCGCTTGAAACTGCCCAAATATAATCAGTTTCAAGTTCCAGATGGCCTGACGGGGCCTGGCTGTTAGGGCACTCAATTCACAATCTGTATGTTGTGGGTTTGAATCCCTGTCATCGAACATGCTCGCCCTCTCAGTCGTGGGGGCTTTATAATGTGACGGTCAATCCCACTATTCGTTGGTAAAAGAATAGCCCAAGAGTTGGCGGTGGGTGGTGATGACTAGCTGCCTTCCCTCTAGTCTTACACTGCTAAATTAGGGATGGCTAGCGCAGATAGCCGTCGTGTAGCTTTGCGCGAAAATTCAAAAAACAAACAAATCGCTCGGTGCTTTTGGCTTTAAGATATCAACTTGTCATCATTTCTTTTGTCTCGAAATCATCAGCAAGAATATTTAAATACGTGTCAAACCAGAAAATGTATTTTTGTAGGAATCTCTTTGGAGTCAAACCAGAAAATTTCTTTTTGTAGGTAATCTCTTTGGAGTTCAAACCAGAAAATGTA